TGAGGATTATATTCATGAAACTGTGAATCACAAATATCATTTTGTCCAATTAGTGGAGCACACAGCCAGCATATGAGTGTAATACGAAACAATATTTCTTGATTTGACGTAAAAAAAGAACATTATATCAGTTATTTGAATTTATGTATATATAAAGAAGATTTGATTTTCATGAGCGTATTAATGGTTTTTGATATTATGGCTAAGTTATATTCATTATCAGACTAAAATCCATTTTATATTATAAAAAGTTGATATTTATTTTTTGATTTTTCTGCTCTGTTTCGTTACGTCCATATATATACTTTATCTATCGTACTCATATTATTCTCATTCATAGTAAGGCGGAAATTTAATAAATATATCCAATATATATTCTCTACCTTGCAGGGTCTGCCTAATTTTTTTGATATCTATTACTTTTAGTATATTGTAGATTCATTTATTTAATAAGGCGAAGATTTAATTTAATACATAAAATGTATGTGTATGTGAGCAGGTATACACCTAAGAGGATTGAACTGAACAATTATCTTATTTTATTAATAACTTGTTAATAATTTGTTAATAATGTTGATAAACAGTGATCAACTAAAATCTTTTAAACGTTACTCAAGATCATACGTTGCGAACATATGTCAAGATCGAGATTATCGAGATTTGTTTTTTATGATAAAGATTACTATTTTAATCTTTTATTTTTAAGGTAAGTATTAGTAAAATTGTACTTTAAATATCTTAGAAACTATAAGAGACCGCTGATTAATTTATAGAGAAAAATTAATTTATTAAGAAAAAGTTGATCAGTATCTTCACTTTTATAACATATATCAAGATCACGGTCATCGAATGCAATTAACAATAAGATAATTCAATTAACAATAAATTTAGCGAAATTTTGAAAAATTGTTTATAACAAATAATTTTCACAACTTTATGTAATTTTAAGTTACATATTATTCTTCAGATTTTGACCTTCAAAATAAAAAAATAATTTAATTTAATTTTATTATTATTATTATCTATTAATTATGTTAACTTTAAGCAAAGATACATTTTAATTTAAAGTACACTAAATCCACGAATACAGTTATGGAAATTTTGGGAATATCGATTAGAATTTAAAAAAAAATAAAAATGCGATTTAAAAAAATTATCTTTAACGTTTATATCTAGGTTTTAACAAATAGTTTTAAATTTTGATTTTGTATCATTTATGCAGAGATGGGAAATTACTTTTACCGTTACTTTTAAAACAATGATTTAGTAACGATGTTGCAATTTTTTATAACGATAACAATAACTAAAAGCTAAGGAAAAACTGAAAACTTTTAAAAAGTGAGATATCTAAAAAAGTAAATCATTAATTGTGATGCGCCGATTCGTTAAAAGTACCGAGGCGAAGCATCATAAGTAATAAATTACTTTTTTCAATAAATAATGCGTAATGATGACAAGTCACTTTTCAAAAATTTCCTAAACTTAATTTTTAATTAGTCATCGTTATCGTTATAAAATTGCAACATCGTTATCAAATCGTTATTTTAAGAAGAATGGCAAAAGTAACAGTAAAAATAACTTTCCATCCCTGCATTTATGTTTCATATTTTATGATGTCTATTAAAAAAATAAATTATTTTTATAATACGTAAAAATATCCAGTCTGAAAGGTCTATATATGTGAAAATCTAATGTGTAATCTTAAGATTAAAACTAGCCGAAGTAAGAAAAGCCACAGCGGATTAAAAGTAGTACGAGTAAGCGTATAAGTCGGACGTAAAGAGAGAGGTCAAGACTTTCCTCAATCCTTACTCTCGAGTAGATGATGACTGCGTCGTCGTACCGGAAAAAGTATGTGCAAGGAGTAAAAAAGGGCTCTGCAAGGAGTAAAAAGTAAAAAATCATTTTATTTCAGACGAATACGAAGCAAGTTGGTTACTGGTAAAAGCATCGAAAACCGTCTGTACTCCATATCGTAGCAACCTGACTTTGTGGATAATTCATGAAAAGCAAAAATGTTTTTTAGTCAACTTTCTCTCGACTCGACAAATGAATAGTTTCATCACACGAATAGTTTATCTCTGCAAAATCCTGATCCTTAATTTCGAGCGTTACGTACACGCGTTACAAATTAATGCTTTGTAGATAATTTAGGGAAAAAACAGTGTTCTGTGACGCTACTTTTTTCATCAATCGCTTGCTTTCTCATTGAAATTCCAATGAGTTTCCCAACTACATCGGATTTAATACGAGTACGCTTGTAAATTTACGAGTACATGCCGAAAACGGATGGCGTTAAATTAAAATCTTAAAAGTGAACAGCACGGAATAAAATCTTAGTGATAATATAATGCTCTCGTTTTAGGAATTCAAGTTGGTTTTGCGTAACATATATTTTATCTTTAAATTGATATTAACTTGGAATTAAATCATGAGCTTTAAATGAAAATTCTCGTGATACTATCAGACAAGGACCAAGCGTGCATCCGTACACGCATTACAGCCACGTAATGACGTTTATCTTGACGTTCATCTGTGGATTAACATTTGTGTAAGGGGCAAAAGCACATTGAGAAACGTCAAGGATATTTCCTTGATGTTTAATAACCATGCTAAAAGCGGAGAGTAAGACGCTGCTCCGTTCTACTTCTCTCTCTCTCTCTCTCTCTCTCTCTCTCTCTCTCTCTCTCTCTCTCGCTCTCTCTCTCTTGCTCTCTTATACCTTTGGCGGCAATAACGTTCCTACGAATTGTAACTGCATGCATATATACCTCGAAACGAGATTTGAGGTTGAGATACATCTTGTGCAAGACACGTCATTCATATTTTCCAAAATTCAACGAAAATCTTAAACACTTTCGAGAAACAGAATATTATCATTTCCAGAAGTTGATATTTCTATTGAAAAGTGTAAAATTATAAACACATTTTACAAAAATAAAAATTACAATTATTAATTTAAATTATGTTTCATACTTTTAATAGTCGACAATATTTCATAAAATAATGTTTTATCGCTCTGTCATTTTTCCTGAAAAGAAATATATATTATTTGAAAGACATTTTTACACGTATAAGATAGTCCGCATGAAATCGCGAAGGCAAAGGAAGAACAATAGGGATAGAGGTAAAAGCGGCGAAGGGAAGAAGTGACATGGCGAGAGAAATGCGATCGAACTTCGTTCAAAACTTTATCTTTGAGAATAGAATAGAGGAATTGAAACGTCGAATGTATGTATGGTAGCATTCCTTTCAAGCAAGATCAAACTCAGATCCGATCAGATCTCCACACGAAAGGCTGAAACTCTATTCGAAGGAACAATAATCCGTGCCCAGCTTTTGCGCTTCTACAACAGAAGGAACAAAAAGATGGAACGTAGCCTCGACTTGCCTCACAGTCTATACAAGGGCATTTTATTATCGATATTACGATCTTTATGACTGTAAACATCGTAAATACGCTCAAAATGTCATCTCAGGCGTAGATGCGTTTGTCTTTATAATATCCGCCTGTTGGAAACATGGCCCTTGAACGAATAGCCGAAGTGGGTCACAGCGAAACAAAAAAAATGTTTCTTTGTTCATTAATTTCACTACCATCTTGTTCTATTCCCCTAAGCAAAACCTTCTAGATTTCCACGTCGCTTATGCAACCATGACGACTCATAAATGTATTATTCTCTTCATGAGTCGCATTAATGCGCAGTCAAGAGGAAAATTCTGACTAGGATTTTACTCAAAATTACAAAGAGATTCATTTTAACGTTTTAATATTTTTTTCCACTTGAAAATAAAAATCGGTTAAAAATTCATCTGACATTTGATATATTGTTATTAAGACCATTAGAGAATTTATGCGATGGCTCGCATAATCATGGATTTAAATCCCCATCATTATCGTCATCATTATCCATCCTTCTCGCATTTCAACCGCTTGCCGTCGAAAACACGCAAGTATACCAAACCATTCCGTAAATAAAATTACCGTAAAATTTATGTTGACGTTATATAATGTTACACGACACATTAATAAGACGAAATAAGATGTTACACGATTTTATCTTCCGAGACTTCTCAAGAGAACGTGGCGGCCAAATACTGTCCCCGAAAGTGTAAAAACGGAACCGTTCATAATGGCATTTAAAGAGTAACCATAATTTCACGAGAAGGAGGACACGATGTGTCTAATGTACGACCATGAATTGACCTACATCGTCTCGCCAAATAATCTGTCTATTGGATATTAGAAAATGGATTTCGCGCAACTGCTTTCATCGTTTTTATTGTTTGAACGACGAATCGACATTCCTCCGCACGAACTTCCATTCGTCGAATTGCAGGAAGACACACCAGCAGTTTCCATTTTCTTCCTCCTAGCACCAATCTTTGCTCGCTTTCGGTAATACGAATTTTACAGTCGCGCAAACATGATTTCACTATCGCGACCATAACATTATGATATCGTTAGGTCTTTTATTGCATCTCTTTCGCGTTTTTCTCGTTTGAGATATTTTTGCCCGCGCATGCTCTCCGCTCTCGTTTCATCTCAGAGAAAAAAGCTGACGCTGCGTGTGCCTGATCTATTACTCTCCACGATGTAGCCTGCCCTTATCATCCGGACTTTATGATGAAAAACGTCGTCTGAGATTCCGACACCGTAGATGCTCCGCAACTCTCAGAGTATAATTCTATTTTGATAAAAATAATAATATATTTCGACATTTTAAGTAATATGGATTGTATTATTGGTTTCATATCCGTAACAAGCTTATTTTTCAATCGTACAATAACATTTTAAAATACAAAAATCTTTTTAAATAAAATGTTTTAGATTGTATTTTAATCTTTTTTTTTTTATCAAATATTGATTTAATTCATAATCAAGAATACTAATCGTTTTAACTATATAGACTGTTCTTATGACCAAATTCTTTATTTATTGGACCAGAATTCTAATTATTTATAATTATAATTTATAATTAAATATGGACTTGTTTTAGGTACATGGCCATCGTGAATCCTTTGAAACCACGTATGGGGAAAAAGGCGACGTTGTGCGTTGCAATCATAATTTGGATCATCGCGGCAATTTTATCTTTACCGATGTTACTTTTCTACACCACGTACACTCAGAACTTCATGAATGGCGAAATCCGCGTCGTCTGCTACAGCGATTGGCCGAACACAGACGATAATGGACTCAGCTACGATGAATATTTGTAAGCCAAACGTTTTAATAATGAATACATACTATATTTATAAAATTTATTCCTTAATTATTTCTATATATTTGCATTCGTCTTTCACAAAAATTCACAATTTCCCTAATCTAATCGATTTGTTTCTATTATTATTATTATTATTGTGCAGATATAAGTAAGGCTTCTTTATTTCAATTTTGATCGAATACTAAACAGTAACGTGTTTAAGATCGTCTGAATACCTCGCAAAAATCCACAATGCGTTCGCGTATACAATATAAGTTATTGTAGTTAAACATAATTACATTCGCGTTTTTTATAGCGTACAATTAAGTCGCGAAAGATAAAAGCGTCACTTTCCGAAGACCCATAAAAGTGTCGTTACCTCATATACACATACAAATCCACGCAATACTATTACACCGTTTATAATTTACGATCGTTAAACGATTGCGCCTGCCGGTCATGACCAATTGCAATTGGTTTGTCTCTCACGTACATGAATGTGTCTTGCAGTGTGTGCCATGCATATTGCGCTGTCCTAATGAGTCTCTCATTTTACTATGAAGTGTTTCCAGGTACTGCGATAAGAGACGCGATAAACCGAGCTAATAATACCTTCAATTCGATGCATCGTAAATGTATCGCGTGCCTTCAAAATACTTACTCCAATCACGCGCGATTAAATCTTTCAACCTTTGATCGGATTGTAATTACAGATGAAAATCTGAATTGTGTTCCACATTTGCGTCCGCTTCGTACGATCGTCCATTAAGATAAGTCCGCGAAAACGTACTCGCCGAGATAACGTATTCGCTCCGGAGCGTGTGCTGTTTCCTAATTGAAAGATTCAGACAGTATACCCAAAACTCGGTGCTATCATGCTATCGTGCATAGCACGACATGTAAAATCACTTAAATCACGCATAGGCGACGCCCATAGTACGATAGGAGAATTCTAATCCTGATATAAATGACGTTTTGAACAGTTGTTCCCAAAATAACTTATGTTTAATCCAAGTTCGCGTGATTCTATCCATCGTTCTATAATCTCTAGCCTAAGAATCTCTTCTATTCTGTGATTAGAAGATTCGCACGACACGAAGCTTTCCCATATTTCGCCCCTCTCCTCTTTACTTATTCGAAGCGTAACAAGAGTATAGTTCCAAAGCACATTTCTTCATCAATAGCTCGATATAAAAGTATTTATTAAATTAATTTTTCGAAATTTTATACATACATCAATTATAAGCTTATAATTAGTACGCTTAGTATAACAACAAAGCGATACATATCGACAAATAATATCGTTTAAAGAAATGGGAAAATTTATGTTACTACATGTAAAATTCATTATAAGCCACACCTTACAAAGGTGTGGTTTATAATGCAATTATATAACGATAATATTCTATAATTATCATACATTGCTTCAAGCGTGTTAAATTAATGAAGATTAATTGCGGTCGTTCTGAAATTATCAGGACTGTAAATAATGACTGTAAATAATAAGAATAAATGAAACAAATATTGCATACATAAATAAGAAATACAATATTTATTTTTACATCTATTCTTTACATATCAAGTTATTTGGAAAAAAGAAAAGTTAATCACAAAAAAAGTAAAAAATTTAAAAATGGAGAAAAAATTAAAAATAAGGATTTTTTTTTATTTCGAATTAGTCATCCAAATTTATATATTATTTTACACATATATTATTTTAAGAACATTCATAACCATTATGAATTAATGCTAAACGTTTATCGTCCATGACAACTTATCTGCTCTAGAATGTGCACAATTTTATTAAATGCGATTTCGTATTTGAGTCAATCTACATATAATCTTATATAATATAATCTTATATAATATAAGATTAGCTTACTTTTCCTCGATATTCTTAAAATTTTTCGAATATATTTTCTTCTTTCGGGCGATATGTTTCCAAGCATAATCTAATCCTCGCGTAATCCAAATTTGTATAAATATCAGTATTATTGTAGCGGAAACAAATTTGTACAAATATTAGTATCATTGTAACAAATAACGCCATTCATCGTTTCTCGAATATTCTGCTTTGCTACTGGATTTGCTCATTCACCACTGTCGAAAGCCGACGATTAAAGCTTTTACGGACCTCCACAATTTAAATTCGCATAAAGTATTCTAAATTGGAACTACGCGAGTATAATCTGATGAATTTATGCATCAGTAGTTTTTATTCGTTCGGTATAAACACCGGTTTTCCAAGCGTAACGTGGAATCGGAAATTTCGATTGTTGTATAATAGCTTGCGACACCTCGTAATCTGATTGCAGCGAACGCGATAATCCATTGATCAATTCATTATCGTTTGTTAATAATCCTAATGCTAAGTGCGTTTCAACGTCCTCATCATGACGAGCTGAATGCTCCGTTAGAAAATTAACAGCCGTTAGCATCGCTTTCGGATTGTCATAATTAACATAATTAATGCATGTAAATAGGATTATATCCGCAAAAATTACGGTGTTGGCCACTAACGATAAAAACACGAGATTTTTGCTTGATAATTTACTATGTCTCTTAGACTTTTAATGCAAATTAAACTAATTGGCTGCGTAATAAATGATTACATTTTCTTTCTTTCTTAAAATACCGTTCGCGCAATACTCTAATAAACTTTTAAAAACTCGTAAACTTACTTTAAAATTCCGCTTGCACTCTATCTTAAATTCCGACGAAAGTTTGTAACATATATATTGTGTGTAATTTATTTAACTGTTCCCTCTCCATAAATTTCACATTGCAAGTCGTTATATCCGGCTACTAAAGGTTAACGACAATTACATGATTATCATTAGCCACGTACGTACCTACATGTAAATGATTACACACGAGTTTTCATGTTCGAAACGTGAGTTCAATTTAACTCACCTGTCCAATTACGACTTGATAATGCCATCAATAACTTGATCAACAAACAACATCAAACATGCACATTAGTCGGTTCATTAAGTCTAATAATATGTGCACTCGCATAATATCAGCCACCATGACTGGTGCATCATGGCCGAATCGGCCATGTATTATTTTCATTCGGCGTTGAATTGGCACATATGAATTTAGCATGCACAAAGAAGTTACGCGCCACGATACTTCTGAATAAAAATGTGCCCGCAAGACCGCGATATCATGTTATTTTCATTCTCCCTTTGAGCATAACGTCATTGCCTTTCGCATCATCCAATGTAAATTTATGTTGAAAGTGCTATACACGAATGTAACACCTACGACTCCTCAAATATCAGTTAAATTTGATTGTCTAAACCACAAATGAGGTGAAACGTACGTGCAATTGCGAAATATCCGCATGTGTGATGAATTTCATAATAATAGATTTATTAATAAATCAATCGCTTTCGATTATAATAATTCTAAAATCGACGTTTCAAAAACCTGTGTTAGTCTATTTTCGGATTTCCATTTTTAATTTTCGATTTTAAGAGAATGTAATTAAATCTGAAATTCATTTCTGTTAAAGAAAAGTAAAATTAACTAGGAAGAAAAGTGAAATTAACTGGAAAAAATAAAATCTTTCTTGTCTGTTTAAATCTTTTAAAACTGTTAAAGCACGGAGGTAGCACTTTAAGGTTTGATGTCAACTTAATAATGAAGCCTTGAGCACTCTCTATAGAACAGAAAGATTTAGTTTCCTTAAAGAATCTTAGAAGAAAGTACGCGATTCCTGAAACACTTCGTAGAATAGATATCGATGCTCGATATTACGCCAAGTAAATTTGTTCTTATGAGTAGGCGATATAAATTTAATTGACTTTCAGGTACAACGTTATCTTCATGATATTGACATACTTTTTACCAATCGGATCCATGACGTTTACTTATGCCAGGGTCGGCCTGGAATTGTGGGGCTCGCAAAGCATTGGAGAGGCCACAGCCAGACAACTCGAAAACATTCGGAGCAAACGGAGGGTATGTATAAAATGAATTAATATCCGCACATAGTTTAGACTGAAATTGCTTTCGTCTCACGATCGAAAGATGATTTAAAACGAAAAGGCACGTATGTGACATGAAAGTATTTACGCGATTAAGTTCTTCTCTCTCCCTCTTTTTCTCTCTCCCTATTTTTTTTTTCATCTCAACAATAGATAATATTTAATCAGAAAGGGAATAAAATCATTGCTTTTAAATACTTCATGAACGAAGAAATGGATGTTAATAAACTTCATAAACTCATGTTGGAAATTGTTACACACTTCTTGTGTCTTTCGATGACGTTTAAGTAATTAAAGTGCAGTGTCGTGTCAGTACTTGTAACGTATTTACACGAAGTGATGCAACTGATTGTGAGTAATCTCGTGCACGTTCTTTATCTTACTCTCTCTCACCCAGTCAAAACCGATATACGAACTATTTCAATTAATTAAGTTTAGATGGAACTTTAGACAATTTCAGTTCACGTTCTAGTCTTTTGTTCGTTGCCGTAACATGCTGAGAAAGAAATAAATATTGCCTCACTTCCCTTAGAAGATGCTAAATAAATCATAAATATTTCATATTCACAAAAGGAATTCTGTAATTATTACAACAGTGCATCTTACGTCTAATTATCTCGTCAATCAATTCAATATCCGTTGAATATCCATTGAAAATAGCATTACACGTTTATTAGCACATTGCACAGCAAGAAACTATCGATAGTAATCATATAATGCATTTCATAGTTATTCCCTTCAATATTTTCAAAATTTTTAATGAAAAATTATTGGCAGTTGATTTTTGCGTGAATACCCTCCCTTAAATGTTCAGGATCATATCCTAGATAATATTTGTTAAGTTCAAGGCCACACATTGGAAATTATTTCTCTTATTTTCATTTTTATACTAAAAATTCATTTTTACGTAAAAAATGAAAATAAGAGGAACAATCTCCAATAATCTTGATTTCGATAAATATTATTCAGGACATAATTCTAAACAACATTCAAAAGGTTTTAGTCGTCGGCTAATATCTCTTTATGCAACCTTTAAACAATTATTCAAGATCACCAAAAGATAGTCCTTCATAACCCCTACAACTTTTATTGGAGTCATTTTCCCTGAAAGTGCGTACTTTTGGAGATTATAGGAAGGTCCTATTCTTTTCGAATACCCTGTATAATATTTGTAATATACAGTTATAAGAGCAACACTGAGAAACAGTTTTAAATTTTAGTTATTTAGAGTGGGCCAATTAATTACAATTAGACGATTAATGATATGAGTATGCTATTTATATAGCATTTCATCCTTGTTGATTATCAAATATCTATACAACGATAAATAATGCTCACGTGAATCGAACTGCGACCAAGGATTATATTTATATTATATTTACATTATACAAAGAAAATATTAAAGTACATAAAAAATACAATGTTAAGTACACGGACATTGAAAAAATAAAAATTTATTTTTCAAAAAAAACTTTATAACAATGAGAAAAGTTTAACTTTTTGACTTATATTTTTCCTATATATTACATGAAAGATATCCAACAAATTAAAATATGGATTTTACGATCTAATTATTTGTCAAATTTTTTTTCAAAAAAATGGAAAAAAAAATTTTTTTATTAATTTATTTTTACACTGTTAAATTCAGCATTAAAAATAACATAAAAGTACATATTTTCAAAATTTTTAATGAAAGATTATTAGTAGTTAATTTTTGCGTGAATGCCATACCTTAATGCAATTATTATTATAGATTATTATAAATTATATATGTTTTCGGAGAAGAGACATATAGCATCTGCCATTTACGAATATTAGGAAGGTTGCGTGTTAATTATGGCAAATGATGTAAACCTATATCAACTGCAAATGTGAACAATGCTACATAATCGACTAATACACATACATCAAATTCAGAAATTCAGAGAATACGCATATAAACGGCATTAAGATTCATATAAAACGATAATATTCAGCAGCTGATGATATTGCCTTTATCCAACCCTCATAAACTCGGCTTATCAGCTCCGTTTTAGTAGCTGCGGGGAATCCAATGATTTTCTTCTCTTATGAATAACATCAGCGATTCTCCAATAATATCCATAGCAACGAGATCCATAGTTACACGCAAAAAATCCGAAATACATCTTTGTCTTTTCTTATCATAATAAATCATTATGGTAATTTTTACTGCCTGTATGATGAATGTATGCGCAGACTTTCAGATCGCGAAGACCTTTTATAGCTAAAACCAAGTACCCATTTTACCGCGCTGGCAGAAAAATTATACAATAGATGTACAGAATGTTCAGAGTTCAGAGTTCAGAGATAAGATACACAATTTTTTGGATGTAGACTGAATATGAAAGTAGAAATTTTACTGTAATAGTAAGGACAATAAAATTAATTTCAAGCATCATACATTTTTCGCAAACATCTACAAGCATTTTAAAAAGTTGTATCTCAATGTTACTAATAATTTTTTTCTGTTTTCCTTTCGTCCAATTTTCTTCACTGCGAAATGAAAAAAATGTGATTACAACGCAACGATGCTTCATTCGATTTGAGTATGAAAGCGTCCGCTGAAAAATGTCTTCCTAATTAGTCTTAAACGCAATGTGCAATGACTATTTGCAAGCTTAACGAGCAAAGATCGCAAGTGTACGTGAGATATTCCGAGTCATTATCCTGCTACCATGAATCTCAGAGAAGGCAGCTCAAATCTAAAGTCTGGTCATAATTCATAATTAGACGAGTCCCGGTTTGCATCTTCATGGGCTTCCATTTCCGACACTTAGACTTTAACTCTCTCAACTTTCGGTCAATAAAGTTTGAGAGGAAAGTCATCTATCCTCTACAGACAGTAACACACTGGAGTGCTTAGTTGATTTTTGACCACAGAAAAAGAGAAAAAGAGAAAAAGGGAAGAGAAGTGGCCTCCGGGGGATGATCCCTTTGTTTCAGAGAAAAAAATGTGTATTTTAACATGTTAGTGATACATGCCGGATATCGATTGCCTATAAAAGCGTTTATTGTCTACTATCGTTTGTGATCTGTGTTTCGAACGGAGTGAAAAATGATTAGATATAAGTTTCCATTTTTCGGTCAACGCTGCCTCTATTTTATTCTTGCAAATATTGCAAGAATAAAAGCTGCAACTTTTTAAATAGGATATGATAAATTATGTGAAATAGTGATAAATGTAATAAATGTTTTTTTAATATTTAAATTTTGCACGATAATATATATATATATATATA